ATGCAAATGATGGAGAGGAACATACAAATGGATACCTATTGTGGGCACAAAGATATGAGAGCAATGGTGAAAATGCACAGGAATGATACCTCCATTCAATTTCCCCCCAAGGCATTCCCAAAAATTCACTGATGATCAAGTTCAGCCTAAATGATTGTCTCTGGATCCACCCCACCTCTGACAGTGATGAAACTGAAACATGAATGACAGAAATTTTGTAGGGGGAAAAAGGCCCAAGGGAACCACAAAGACAAAAACTTACCACATTTCATCATTCCCACTTCGTAGCATTTCCGGAGTCGGCAGGCCTGGCAACTTTTGCGCCTATTTTTATCTATTGTACATTGGTTTGTCGCTGGACAAATATAATCATTGTGTCCTGCAGAGAGATATAAAAGAATGGATTATAGAAGACTTTCTCTATATATATTGTGTTGCTATATATGATGATTTGTGACATGGAAGGCAGCTTTTAACCTTGGCTGTGTTGTGTGTATGGTTGCCAGATTTTAGACCTTGGCTCCGAGTCTCCAGTTTTTGTGGTATAAATCCTCCAATTTTATTGGACTCAGCTCCAGAGAAGAGGAAAGGACTATGTGGACATTTCCAGCTCAGCTAGCAGAGCAGCAATTTGCTACAGTTTGGAAGGCTAAATGATTTGTTTCTGCAATTTGTTAAGTCTCTTAACAAATGAAATGAGGGGAGCTCTGTGTACAGGTTGAGTCTCCCTTATCTGAAATTCCAAAATCCAGAATACTCCAAGCTTCAAAATTGTCCACGAGTGGCTGAGATAGTGATATCTTTGCTTTCTGATGGTTCAATGTACACAAACGTGGTTTCATGCACAACATTAGTAAAAATATTCTATAAAATTACTTTCAGGCTAGGTGTCTAATTACCTTCAGGCTATATTTATAAGTGTATATGAAACATAAGTGAATTTCCTGTTTAGACTTGGGTACCATATACAAGATATCTCATTATGTTTATGCAGATATTCCAAAATCCAAAAAAATATAATTAAAAAAATCTAAAATCCCAAACACCTCTGGTAGCAGGAATTCTGGATAAAGGAGATTCAACCTGTACTTACTTAGGGCCTTTGCAGACTGCCAGAAATAGTGCAAATTGAGTCCACTTTAACTACCCCGACTCAGTGCTAGGGAATCATGGGAACTGTGGTTTATTGTGGCACCAGAGCTCTCTGACAGAGAAGGCTCAATGTCTCAGGGGAAAAAAAACAATTCCCATGATTCCCTAGCACTAACCCTAACCCTTAAAGTGGACTCAATTTGCACTATTTCTGGCAGTCTGCAAAGGCCCTAACTTCCACCTTCTCTCCAAGTCACTGTGGTGCCAAGGCTCACCCTCCACACTGCTCCATATCCACCTTGTAGCTAGAAACAAGTTGGCTAGATTAGTAAATGTTCCTTATCCTGTCCTTGGCTAATAATCCTTTCCTTTTGCCTTGATCTAGGAACAGATTCTTTATGTGCCATTTTTAGGACTGTGGTTTTGTCCCCGAAACTTCAAGTCTGAGATCTTCCTGAACAGCCAACCCTGGGACCACTAGCACTCTGATGTTTAGATCCTTTTACGCTAGGGTTGCTATGTACAAGGCTTCCATCTCTTAGTGGAATTGGCTTGTTTTCTGCATGCCAATGTGATTGCAGTGAACTCAGGGACTGCAGCCTGAACTTTGTATTCTTGATTTAACAAAAGACATTTCAGTGACACTGATCTTGCACAAACCTAGAAAGGCCAATTGGCCGACCAGCTCCATGGCAATATAGCCCTCTACTTCCTTTCGCCTTCATGTTCAAGGCAACGGGATGTTTATTCATCTGGAAGGATGCATTTTCCCTAACTCCTGTTTAGTCAGTGATGAGAATCGGGCCCAAAGGGATGTAACAAATGAACAAGGAGAAGCAATGGTGATGAGAAAGAGCTGGGAGTGCTTAGGGGGCAGCCCAGGGGAGCATCATGCTCAGTGCTTCATGATACCTAGACCAACTATGGGGAAACACATGGAATACTTATCCTATGGAATCCAGGGATTCATAGTTTGGTGAGGCGTTAGAGCTCTCTGGTTGAGAATTCTGAATGCCCCTCCCTAAAATGCCAATCCCAGGATTCCATAGGACGTTGACATGGCAGTTAAAGTGAAATAATAATGCTATAATTGTGTAGTGTGAACATCATGTCTACATTCTGTCCATACAGTGACAGTAGCAGCCACTGGCTTATCTGTCAGCGTATTGGTGGATCCACTCCAAGTTTTAGATTGAATTTTAAAGGAACAATTAAAGAGGTTGGGTCCTATTTACAAAATAGGTTGAGCACCTTAGACAAAAGCCAACATGGCGTAGTGGTTTGGGTGTTGGACCATGACTCTGGAGACCAGGGTTCAAATCCCAGCTTGGCCATGTAAACTCACTGTGGGCAAGTCACACTCTTTCAGCTTCAGAGGATGGCAATGCCAAATCCCCTCTGAAGAAACTTGCTAGGAAAACCCAATGATAGGGCCACCTTAGGGTTGCCATAAGTCGGAAACAATTTGAAAGCACACAACAACAAACTTTAAACAACAGCTTTAAAGATTAGACTCAAACTTAGAATGGATTTCCTTCCCAAATGACATGGCAGCTACTAGCAACCCACACATAGTGGCCAAGCAGTTGTCCATGGGAAGCCCACCTGATAGCCATTTCCCGACAAAAGAGGGACAGAGGCACACAAATTAATAGCCACTAATTACTGATTAATAGCCACTGTTGAGTCTAACTTCCATAAAGACCTGGTTGATAACAGTACAGGTATAGCCTCAGTTAATGAAGTAGATGTGTTCCTGAGCATTACTCCTTTAACAGACAATTTGGTACCAGAGGGAGAAAACACATGAAAAGAATAAGGAAAGGTTCCTACACAATAAAGAAGAAGAGCAGTTCAACATGTTTCAGCAAACTTTTATTCAAAACTAACAATATATACATCTGAAATGAAGCAACCAGGTCAGGTAAACCTTCCATTGTTGTTGCAGTAGTTGCTGTTGTTGTTATGTGCCTTCAAGTTGTTTCCAACTTATGGCGACCCTGAGGCAAACCTATCATGGGGCTTTCTTGGCAAAATTTGTTCAAAGGAGGCTTGCCATTGCCTTCTCCTGAGGCTGAGAGCATGTGACTTGCTCAAGGTCACCCAGTGGGCTTCATGGCCGAGCAGGGAATCGAACCCTGGTCTCCAGAGTCCAACACACAAACTATTACACCAGTCTTCTTGAGTAAAAAAAAAAATTGTTAAAGCTTCTAGAGACCTCTTGAAAGCTTCTTTCCAATTGCATCCAAGGATTATACTTTTCTTTCATCAGCCTTCACTTTTCTTATGATTTCAATTTTGGTAGCCCAACTTATAGATGTGTGTGGCTGTGGGTGTTTAACATGCTGGAGGTAGCTGGTGAGGGAGGCTAATCTGTTTTCTTTCTGTTTTGCTCTTTACACATGTCCAACAAGGGATTCTGGAGATGTCTGACATTTATCTTGCTTATTGTAAGCAGGCACACACAGCTACAGTAAGATCAGTTAGAAAGGAATCCCATTCTTCTTGCATTATTTACTGTTGACACACTACTGTAATCCAATACTGAAAGTCTGTGTTTCTCCAGCCTTCCTTCACCATTTTCTCAATATCAATGCTACTAAAAACCATTCAGCTCAGTGGGTGGACAGGAAGGAAAACAGGATTGGATGAGCATAAAAAGACTTTATAAAAAGGAGCTTCTTTGTCAGAGGCTTTGTTAACTGAGGCATTCCTGCGTTGCGTGTGTGCTGTGTTGCCTTCGTTTCTGACTTATGACAACCTTATCATAGAGTTTTCTTGGCAAGTTTCATCAGTGGGTTTGCCATTGCCATCCTCTGAGGCTGAGAGAGTGTGACTTATCCATGGTCACCCAGTGGGTTTCATGGCCGAGCTGGGAATCAAACCCTGGTCTCCAGAGTCATAGTCAACACCAAAACCACTACACCATGCTGGCTTTCATTCTTTCCTGTGTTAAGAGTTCTGAAATTGCCTCCCCATGAGAGATTTAACATCTAAAATACAACGTTGTATCAGGAAAAATGGCTTTTTGTTGCTTTTAATGTTATGTGGCTGTTTCTAGAGTGCAGAAGCTGAGATGGCATGCTTAGGGGTTTCTGTTTCCTCCTTTCAATTCTCACAAAGATATATCAGGACCTTCACATAGGGACAACAAAGGAGAAATAGTTTGGACCAAACAAAATTTGACAGGAAGGGATATGAGATAGGACTCTTCCCCACATTCTTGGTCTCCTGGGTTGTCAAGTGAAAAACAGGTCAGGGCTCCTGCGCATTTAGCAGTTGTGTAGAAGTGCGGATTTCTGCAGGTGTGCTCCTCCAGATTCCCCTTCCAAAACGGCCTCTCTCAGGTATGCTTCAGAGATAGCTGACATGCATAGGATCTCATTAAAAATCTAGGAACAGTTCAATTTCTATGAGCATTTTGATGTAAAAAGCTTTAGGAAGCTTGCTACTGAAAGGTATAAAACAAGGGATCAATATGTACTGGCAATAAATAAAACAGTTAAAAGTATGAAAAATAGTCTGTTTAATATAACCAGAAAATCATTTTTGAAGAAATGCCAAACAATTTTTTTAAAAAGCCATGGTGTGCCCAAAACAGATGTGGACTCAGTTCTTGGCAGTGAAGGCTGATTGTTATCAAAGGTGCCCTGGAAAAAAAGATAAAAGTGTTGTCTCACTAGGTCGCTTCATATGTCATGGCCTTCAGAAGGTTATCATGCTCCGTTCTGAAGTGCAGGTGACTAAAACATATGTCAGGTAAACATTTTGATTTTCTTGAATAATCCCTACTTCCTATATCCAGATTTTTATTAAAAGGAACTGATCTGAGATGGCAGTCTCTCCACAGTCAAGTTCCCATTGAAGGCAATAAGATTTGCTTCTGAGTAAACATTGATCTTGTGAGATCCAGTGTGGTGTAGCGGTTTGAGCACTAGAGTATAACTCTGGAGACCAGGGTTTGATTCCCTGCTCAGCCATGGAACCTCAATGGGCAATCATAGGTGAGTCACACACTCTCAGCCCAGAAAAAACCTGTGATAGGTTTGACATAGGGTTGCCATGAGTCAGAAATGATTTGAAGGCACACAACAACAAAACATAGATCTTAGGATAAATTGGGGTTCAAATCCCAGCTGAGCCATGGAAACCCACAGGGCGATCTTGGACAAGTCATATTCTCTCAGCCTTGGGGGAGGAAGGCAATGGCAAAACCCCTCTGAAAAAACTTGCCAAGAAAACCCCATGATAGCCCACGTGGCATAGCAGTTTGAGTGTTGGACTACAACTTTGGAGACTAGGGTTCATTTCCCAGTTTGGCCATGAAACCCACTGGGTTACCTTGGGAAAGTCACACCTCTCGGGCTCAGGGGAAGGCAAAGGCAAACCTGTTCTGAACAAATCTTGCCCAGAAAGCCCTATAATAGGCTTGCCTTAGGGTCATCATAAGTCAGAAATGACTTGAAGACACACAACAACAAAAACAACAATACTTTGGATTTCTGGCCGCTATCCTTTGCACACTTACCTCAAAGAGGGCCTACTGAACTGAATGAGCATGAATAAGATCAAGTTGTGAGAGCATTTTAATGCATGCAATTGAAAACAGAGTTTTAAAAAGTAGATTAATCAACTGAAGTTTTACTTAATTGGAATGAAATTGAGATTTTATAAAAACTGAACCTAGAAAAGGCAAAATAGACAGGTTTTCCCATTCTTCTCCCCACTCCAATTGAATTCAAGCTGGATTTATTTTTTGTTTCTTTAAAATGTCAGACTAGTCACAGATGTCCTATGTCATAAGTAACTCAGCTTCATATTCAGTGGTGACAGGTGATTCCCATGTCAATACAGCAGCATGCACATGCCACGATTTACTCCAGATTGTCAAGAAACAATCCAAGGTGGTGAAACTTATCCCTAAAATAGGCTCAAGTTCAAACTAAAACCTAGAACAGATTCACTACCCCACTGACCTGAGACCTCATCAGCCACCTCTGTTATATCTTTTTCAAATCTATTTTCATTCCTGAATGAAACCTTTCTTCAGGTCAACCCATTTCTCCTACCTTGAATGCTTCTTTTGAAGAACGCTTTGCAGCCTTCACATGACCAGACGCCATAGTGATATCCTGAAGCATAATCGCTGCAGACAGCACAGAAATGGGCATCCCTTTTTGAGCTGGGGCTGCTTGTTGTGGGGCTAATACAGTCACTGCCACTGGCCTTCCGCTTCAGGGTCTCTCTGGAGGCAGAGAGGAGGAAAACCATTAAAAAACAAAAGAAGTAAAATGTCTCTTTTAATGCAAAGCTTGTATTTATATCATCAACCTGATTTCTTTATTGTAGAAAGAAAGTTGATGCTGTATTATAGCAAAACAAAAAGGACATTGCGGCACTTTGGATGCAGCCAGATTTATTGTGGAATAAGGTTTCCATAGCCACGGTCCAAATTTCACCAGTGTCATATTGAGATCCCCAAAGGATGAACTATGAGAAATCTGTCTTGAAGTAACATAGGGCTCTTGATCCTAATTTGCTTTACATTACTACAAGAAGACTTTCTCAAACCCAGGCCCTGGATAGTTGATACTTTTTCTTTCTTATAAGGGTATCTCCTTTCCTGCATACCTGCAGTTGTGTGCGAATTCAAAGATATAGCCATGTTAGTCTGTGGAATCAGTATGTAGAAAGATCGAGTAGCACCTTTGAGACTAACTGAAAGAAAGAAGTTGGCAGCATGAGCTTTCCTACACTTAGGTCTACTTCCTCAGACGCATTTGGTGGAGTGAAAAGCCAGGGACAGACCTATATATGCCCCTGGTGTGTGAGAATGTCAATTCAAGTGTGTGAATAACAGCTTTTACACTTTGTCCCAGGGATAGGAATCATGCAGCTTTCCATCAACTTCCAGCATTCTCCACCACATACCCATAATTATCCTGCTCTGGCAGGAGTAGTCCAGATTAATCCTCTGTTGTACTATTTTTTCAGCTGCTTTTAAAATGTCTCATGTTCTCTCATTTCAACCCATTTTCTCCTTTTGTCTTAATATTACTTAAATTTCTGTAAACTGAGTTCAAAGTGCAAAAGTAGTTTGCACTGAATTAACTCAGTGGGAGGAAAGAAAAGAAGCAGAATCTTGTCCTTTCCAATAGATTCAGGCAAAGGCAAACCGCTGCCATGTCTCCTAGCTTATGTGTTCTTTTTCACTCATAATGTTTGCCTTCTTAACCTAAATACTCTGAAAACACCAAATCCTGTCTGATCTTGGATATTAATCAGGGTTAGTTAGTACTTGAATGGAGAGCTCCCAAGGAATGGCAAGTGCTGCAGACTTATTTAGAGAAAGGCAACAGTAAACCACCTCAGAGTATTCCTTGTCTGAGAAAATACTATGAAATTAATGGGGTTGCCATACGTCGATAGGTAACCCGAAGGCACATACATGTGAGAAGGACTTGAACTTGGGGAATTACTAAAGTCCAAGTCTTCAATGGATCTTTTATTTTATGTTTATGGAGGTGGCTAGGGAATAGATTGTGATTTATTTTGGGATTCAAACATACAAAGACATTCTACCATTCAATCATACGCACAAGAACACAGGAATAAAGTAGTTAGTTTGCAGAGGAAACACAAGGCTTTCTAATGATGATAATTACCTGAAGGAAGCTGCTCCAACAATGAATGAAGATGGAAAGACTCAGCCGTTATGAAAGGGAAAGGACAACAGAAAGAGCTGGGACCCAAGCCAGAGTTCACAGTGATGCAGTGTCACCATGAAATCTAAGCAGATCCAATGTTAATACCAGGGGTCCTCAGACTTTTTGAGCCACTGTCCCCTGGCTCATTGGAGGGCCAAAGTAAAAAAAAAAAAAAAAAATGGCAGCCGGAGGCATGCGCGCAAACCCCTCCCTTTCTCTTCCCGTCCTGTCCCGCGACTGGGGGCAGGGCTTTGCAGGCAGCAAAGAGAAAGGCCGCTTGCGCGTGACCGGGCTGCCATTTTTTGTTCCAAAATGGTACCTGGAATCGCGTGCACATGCGCATGACTCTGGCCGCCATTTTGGAACAAAAAATAGCGGCCGGAGTCACGCGCGCATGCGCATGACTCCGACCGCCATTTTTTGTTCCAAAATGGCCACCAGAGTTGCATGCGCGCATGCGCATGACTCCGGGTGCCATTTTTTG